GACTTCCTCTACACTCTAAATATCCTTCAGTATATTATGCATTCCTTTACATTATTTGTCCTTCCCAAATGCATAACCGTATACTTCCCCAAATTGGATTCCATTTGCAGCTTTTCTGTCCACTCAACTAAATAATTGATGTCATCCTGTAGTCAACACCTACCCCTTGTATTATCAACAAGATGGATCTGCAAATTTCCCAATCATGCCCTTCCACATTTCAGTCTAAATCTTTAATATGTACACAAACAGCTGTGGTGTACTGAGCCCTGTGCAACACCACCGGAAACCACTTTCCATTACAAAAGCATCAGTCGTCCCTTACCCATTGTTTACAGCCAATTTTGGACCCAACTTGCTGCATTCTCCTGTATCCTATGGGCTTTAATTTTTCCAACCAGTCTGCCTTGTGAGACCTTGTCAAATGCATTACTAAAATTAATGTAGACAATATTATATCTAATCATTCTTCCTTGCAATTTGAATGAGGTAATTTTTTTTATTCAGGCCAGGCCAGCATTTATTGCCCACCCCAAATTGCCTAGAGGCCAGTTAAGGGCCAAGCACATAGTTGTGGGTCTGGAGTCACATGTAGGCCAGACCAGTTAAGGATGGCAGTTTACTTTCCTAAAGGACATTAGTGAACCAAATTAATTTTCTTGACAATTTACATCGGATTTGTGATCATCGGTAAATGATTATTTTCAGATTTTTTTTGTTCAATTCAAATTTCACCGTCTGCCATGGCAGGATTCAAACCTGGGTCCCAGAACATTACCTAGGTCTCTGAATTATCACTCCAGCAATAATTTCACTAGGCCATCATTTCCTTCAACATTCCTCTCACTGCCTTAGTAAGACTCAACATAGCCTTAACAAAACCATGCTTACGACCACAGATTAATCCATGCCTGTCCAAATAACGGTTAATCTTATCTCCCAGTATTGAGTCTCATAATTTTTCCACCATGGAGGTTAAGCTGACTGGTTTATGATTATTTGCTGTATCCTTTGCAGTCTTTATGAAGAATGGTACAACATTCACAGACGTGCAATTGTCTGCTAACTCGCTTATATCTAGTAAGAACTGAAAAATGATTGTCAGAGTGCTCATAATTTCCTGCCTGGCTTCCTTTAACATCCTAGGATGAAATTCATCTGGCCTTAGTGATTTATCCACTTTCAAGAAGGTCAGACCTTCAGTACTTCCCTTCTCATTATGTTTACTTCATCCAGTATTCCACATTCCTTCCCTTCAACTAGAATGTTTGAATAATCCCTTTCCTTTGTGAAGACAGAGATAAGATATTCATGAGAACCTTGTCCACATCATCCATGTCCATACATGAGTTATGTGGGGATGAAGGGGGGTGGGGTGGTGGGTGGATGGGATCTGATTAAAACTGACAGAATACTGAGATGCCTGGATACAATGGATGTGGAGAACAATAGGAGAGACTAAGACCTGAGGGCTAAGACAGGAGGGATTTTTTAAGTCGGGAGTGATGGATCTGTGGAACTCATTGCTGTGGAGGCTAGGTCTTTGAGAATTAAGACAAAGATTGATAGGTCTTGATGAGTAAGGGAATCAAGGATTACCGGGAGAAGGCAGGAAACTAGAGTTGAGAAACAAAGGAGCCATGATTGAATGGTAGACCAGACTCGTGGGACGAATAGTCTACTTCTGCTCCTATATCTTATGATCTATGGTCTTATAGGCCTATCTTTTCTTAGCCATCCTCTTGATATTGATTTAAAATAAAACATCTTTTAATTTTCCTTAATCTTTCTGACCAATATTTTTTCCTTACCCTCTTTTCACTTTCCTAATTTCCTTTATTTACTTCTGCCCTATGCTTTCTATACTCATCCAAATTTCCTAAAATATTACATTTTTAGATTGTCATAAGCTCTATTTTTCCATATTTTCTTCCCCTGTATATGTCTGGATAATTAAGGGGCTCTGGTTTCGTTAATACTATCTTTTTTTCTCTTTGGGAATTGAGTCAGGAACTCACTAAAATTAATGTAAACAAAATAACACCATTGAAGGAAATGATGGCATTCAAGATTGGTAGGTTCCCAGGTCCAAATCAATCATGATTTCATTGATTGCCAGAATAGACTCAAAGGGTTAAATACTTTCTCTGCTTCTATGTCAAGATGATTTTCATCCAACGTTTTAAAGGAAATTCTTGAGAAAATTATGGATGCCTTAACTGTAATCTTTCAAGGATGTCTTGAATCACAAAACCTGACCATATGCTTTCACTATTTAAGAAGGTAAATGAGGAAAAAATAAAGACCAGTTGGTCTAACATTTGTTGACTGGAGTTTGCTTGAGTCTATGATTCGGCATGATATGAATAAACACTCTGAAACACTTAAAAAATTTGCAGCTGATCAGAGAGGCCATCATGGATGAGTAAAGGGTTGTTGTCAGTCCCTCAAAATAAGAATACCATCTGACAGACTTATTGATTTATACAGGGTTTGTTGTGCCTGACAAGCTTGATTGGATTTTTGTTTGAAGAGATGAGTAATATAGTTGACGGAAGAATCCTTGTGGATGTCATTATGGTAGAGTTCTAGTAGCATTTGGTAAAAAATTGTTAGCTAAGGTCAAGGCTCATGAAATCTGAGGCAAATTATGAAGCTTGTTTTGAACTTCATTGACTGAGTTTCAGGTCTCAGAAAATAGAGGTATTGGGCAGCTACATAGATTAGTAGAATGCAAAAAGTGCTGTCCTGCGGACATCCGTGTTGGAACATCATCTATTCATAACATGTATTGACAACTTAGTTAATGGGATTATATTCAACACATTCAAGTTTATTAATGGCAAAAAGACAGATGGCATTGTACTTAATATAGACCAGCACTTACAATTACAAAGAGATACTGATAGAGTCAGTAAATGGGCAGACTATAGAAAATTAAATCCAATCTAGGCAATATAAAATCATTCACATTACATGCAAAAAGTGTACAATGGAGTACTTTCAAAAAACATAAAAGCTAAAAAAAGTGGAGGTCCAAAGAGGCTTTTGAACCCATGATCAATCATGAGTATGATCAACCATTTGGAGATGGATTGTAAGGCACAGGAGGTGCTAAAATTGAGGTGGAATGTGTGTTGGGATGGAGGTTCAACATGTTCTTTCCAGTATAGCAATGTGTGAATGGCAAGAATGGCAATGGCTTTAGTTGCCTGCCATCTGGAGACAATTAAAGCTAATTAATTGGTCCATTGTCAGCCATTTTATGACCCATTTGGGATTTGGTCAAAGTCAGAATGGCTGCTATCACACAGCAAATCAGCTAGATTCCTAGGAGTGGCCCCTCAGTAGCTTCCTGACTTCCTTGTTGAGAGGGGAAGCTTTTTTATAGAGGCCTGTGGCCCAGAGTCACTCTCCAATGGCTGCTCCTGGGGCTTCAATAGCCAGCGGACCTTCACCCCCTAATCACTTGGACTGTCCGTCTCGCTCACGTATATCGATATCTTCTTCTGCTGGATCTATCAGGATGTCTTAACATGGTGGTTTCCTCCATGCATACCCATGGCACTGCTAAGGCCACCGAGTTGCTGATCCTCAGATCAAATTATTATCCCAGAGAGACAGGCCACCATCCTTAATGGGTTGGCCTATCATGTTTGGCTTCTTAAGTGACTAACATTGGAAAATGTCCATCTCAGTCCTATTGTTCGCCTTGATGAGTGCATGGCTGATATTTTGGAGTAAAAGCCATGCTTCAACTATACAGAACCTCAACCCTTTAGGTTACTGGACTTGAAAGGTTAACACTGCTTTCTCTCCATAGATGCTGGCCAGACCTGCTGAGTATCTCCAGTAATTTCTGTTTCTGTTTGCTGCTGGCTCAGAGGCAGGGACACTACCATGTGCCACAAGAGCCCTCCTTAGATAGATAGGTCTTGGAGGGAGACCAATGTGAATTCACCAGAATAATACTTGGACTCCAAGGGATGAATTAAAGGTATATTACATAAACACAGATTGTGTTCCTGAAATTCAAACAAATAATTTGATACTTTTTTTCAAAAACCTTAAAAGCAACAATAAAAGTAGGTTACAAGGAACTTTTTCTGCTGTTAGGGAGGCTAGGACTAAGAATGATATTGCAAAATTAGTTCCAAACCATACTGGAGTATAATTACAAATCACTTCTAAATGTAATTATGGTAGAAACTTGGAATGTTCTTCCACATTGTAAACTGATTCTAGATCAATTATTGATTTTAAATCTGATATTCATAGAGTTTTGTTAACCACAGGAATTAGGAAATGTCTATGAGGTTATAGAGTGAGGTCACAATTCAGTGAGATCATGTTAAATGGCACAGCAAGTTCAAGGGGCTAACTTATCTCGTCCTAGTTCTATTAATGTGGCAGCATTAAAACATTGGATGAAAGGAACAACTGGATAAAATCACAACCTGATACTCAATTTAAAATTCTATGATCCAATTACATTATTGTAATTCTCAGACTGCATTAAGTGCTATACAAATCAAATCAATCTTATGTGATCTGAAAAGCTGTATTATGCAAGAAACTAGTAAAGCTAAAGAAATGTTAATTTATAAAGTATTGTAAATGTAATTCCAGCTGCTTCAGGTACTGTTGGGTAGGTGTTTTTTTTTACTTCACTCATGGGCATTGCTGACTGCCCAGCATTTATTATCTGTCCCTGTTGGTGGGCTGCCTTTTTGAAGCTGTGCAGTTTCAATTAACCACTGAAGGCTTTAAAAATTTGTTACTACAATTCAGGGAATAACAACAAAGTTATTCGTATCAGAACATTAATGTTCACAAACTAATATACAAATTGTTTATGAAAATATTAATTGTGTAGATACTCAAAATAACTAAACAAAATACCTTAGGCACTGTGTCTCAGAAACTAATATTGGAAATCATTAAAGAATATTTGTGAGGAAAATGTGTCTAATAAGAATATTTCTTCTACTCTGTTTCAGAGTATTTGGTGCTGCCATCTTTCTCACCTCAACTCTCAATATGCTCATCCCATCTGCAGCTAAAGTGCACTATGGTTTTGTGATATTCGTCAGGATCCTGCAGGGACTGGTAGAGGTATGTTTAACTCTCCAAGGGTACAGGAGCAGCACCAATTAATTCACAGAATCCCGCAGAGTGCCTGTAATACAATGTAGTAAGCTCTGAAAGAAACTGTGTTTGCCTTTGACATTCTGCAGCTCGTCCATTATGCTTTTGTCCATTTAAACTGATAAAAAGCTGCACTCCCATAATACACTGAACTATGTATAAATGTTAGCTGACCTGTTATGCATTTCAACCTTTGCTATTTTCATTCCAAACAGTTTTAATCTTTCTTGCTGTTATTTATACTGCTGAAATGATAATGTCTTACTCCAGCTTATACATTACTAATTAGTTTCCTATTAGTAATTGGAAACTAATAGCTGTAACTGCATGCCGAAATTTTAATTAGCATTACAATTCGATTGGTTTTGTGGAATATTTTGAATGTATGCAGATGTCTGGTTTCTCAGATTCATTTTTACAAAAGGGTTGAAGGTAACTTTGAGATATCACTAAGTGATTGCATCGAAGTACAGTATAATAGGAACCGAACTACAAGATACAATCACCCCTCTCTAAAAAGTCTGTAATGCTGTTTTCGCTATTTTGACTGCATTAGTACTTTTAAAAGAATAAGCATGTTGGTTTTTGCTAAGTTGACTGTTAGAAAAATTACAGAGCTGTCTGACACTTTCACTCTGTGTAAAGACATAATTGATGTGTGTTTGCAGGGAGTCACATACCCAGCCTGCCATGGCATTTGGAGTAAGTGGGCTCCACCATTGGAGAGAAGCAGACTGGCAACCACTTCATTTTGTGGTAATTAACTCTTTTTTCCTGTAAGTTTTTTTTTAAAAGGATAAAAAGTTTGAAGAACAATCTTTGAATGGGATCTTACTTGCATATTGATTTCACTCTGATTTTCTCGCAGGTTCATATGCCGGAGCAGTTGTTGCTATGCCTCTAGCTGGGATTTTAGTACAATACACTGGATGGCCCTCTGTGTTCTATGTGTACGGTAAGTTCTATATCCCAATGAAGTGGGTGGTTGTCAGTCAATTTGCTTCAAATACAACAAGCTTCAGCATACAAAAGAGCTCTTATTTCTTTTATTAACTTCTGGATTTATGGTTATTAATACAAATATTGGGAGTTAGTGGTTTTGTTTTAATGTTACTTGACTAAGAATTTAGAAGCCCAGGCTAATGTTCTAGGGATGTGAGTTTGAATCCCACCATGTCAGAATTTCAAATTCTATAAACATCTGGAAATAAAAGCTAACCTAACGGGACCATATAACCATTGGAAATGTTCTAAAAATCCAACTCTTTCACAAGTGATCTTTAAGGAAAAGAAAACTGCTGTCCTTACCTGGTCTGCCCTACCTGTGACTCCAGATGCACAGCAATGTGGTTGACCCTGATCCACCCTGTGAATTAGCTGAGGAAGGCCATCAATAAAAGGTCAGTTAGGGTTGGGCAAGAAGCAGCAGCTTTGCCAGTGATGCCTACATCCCAGAGAAACTTTTTAAAACAGACATCTCGACTTGCAATGACAACTTGCAATATAACTCACCAGTCTCAGAATGTCATTTGTTGCAGAAAAGTTTCTGTATCATTTATAAAGTGTTGGTGTTTAGAAATATAATAATAGAGATCATTTCATGACTATATTTTTAAAAATTGGTAAAGTATATGAGATATCCAACTTTATTAATAGAGTAAGAGGACATGAATGTTCTACTAAACCTCCATTGGTTAAGTTTCAACTGGAGTAATGTGATAGAAGCTCACCTGAGATGATAGCACAAAATGGACTATATCATCTTCTTAAGTCACCAACTTAGAATTCAGTACAATTGCAACTTAATGGAATTGAATATTGGATGGGTGGCTAATTCCATACTGCCATGATTTCTACCCCTTTATGTTCAATAATGGGCACCACACCTTTGGAAAGAGCAGAATGATGCCAAGGTTAAGGAACTAGATGTCTGTGGGAACACTGAAATGGAGAAGGTTTGGAGAAAATTTTCTTGGATGTGTTTTAAAAGAAGATATGTTCTGATGAAGTGAATATGGAGAAAGTGTTTTTCCTCGTTGGTGGATCAGCAATTGGAGGACATAAATGTAAGATAATGACCAAATGAGCCAGAGGTGAGATGAGCAAGTTTTACGATCTGGAACACACTGATGAAATGATGGCGGCTGCAGATTCAATACAAAATTACAAAAGGCAATTTGCCACTAATGGGAAAAGAGAAAACATCATGGCTAATGGAGAAGAGTGAAGGGGAAGGTTTCATTGAGTACCTTTTAAAAGAGGCAGCAGTGACACAATGGATTAATGGTCCCTTTCTTTATTGTAAAGTTCTTTGATTTGAGGTTTTATTGTAGAATGTAAAAGTGCCAATATAGTTAATATTGTCAAACTGGTTCTTCAAACTGGATGAGAACTCTAATTATTCCTCACTAAAATAGTGTCAGAAAAAAATGGATGCCTGACCAGCAAGAAAAGTTGTTTTCTAGCATAGAAACAAAGAACTGTGGACGGTGGAAATCTGAAACAAAAAGGGAAGGCATTGGCAAAAGTCAACAGGTCTGGCAGCAACTACAGAGAGAAATAGAGATAACATTTCAAATCCATTCATCTTTTATCAGAATTTACAAAAACATGGAACTTGAAATATTGACTCTATTTTTGTCTGTACAGATGCTGTTAAACCTGTTGAGTTTCTCCAGCACTTTATAGTTTAGTTACTTTCTGGGAGTAAGTTGAAAGTCTCTCCCATGGTCTTTGAAATATTGTTCAAGCTTAAGAAAACACAGCATGTGAATCTCAAGTCATGGACATCGCCCTTAAAATGTAGTTACTTTTAATTGAAAATTGTGAATATCAGACACGGTGGCTCGGTGGTTAGCACTGCTGCCTCACAATGCCAGTGGCGCGGATTTGATTCCACCCTCGGGTGACTGTCTGTGTGGAGTCTGCACGTTCTCCCCGTGTCTGTGTGGGTTCCCTCCTGTGTCCTCCCACAGTCCAAAGATGTGCAGGCCAGGTGGATTGGCCATGCTAAATTGCCCTTCGTGTTCAGGATGTGTAGATTAAGTGGGTTATAGGGGGGGTCTGGGTGGGATACTCTGAGGGTCAGTGTGGATTTGTTGGGCCAAAGGGACTATTTCTACACTGTATGGATTATTTTGAGGGCAATTATACAACATACTAGCAATGGATGATCGCTCCACCACCAATGTAGATTCAGAAAATTATTGTCGAGAAGTTGTTGAGTAGAGTAGATCTTACACATAAGAATGTTCAGTACAAAAAAAAACAAATATTTTAGATAAACGAGTGAAAGAAAATATCTAGGGTATATTTTGAAGTTGAGTCAGTGGAAAATGAGTATTTTTTCCAGCAAGACACTGCCTTAAAGATGTGGCAACTATTTGATATTCTGAGCCTTTTCCCACTATCCATGATTTTTCAATGTGCTCTCACATTGTGTGAGATACCTAGCTAAATGTGTGAGGATTAAGATAATGTATCACATGCCCTATTCTCTTAAGATGTTAAATCTACTGTTCCCTTTTTTGATATTGATAGCACAACAGTGTACTTTTGGCAATTGTTTGCATACATTTCAGATGCCCAACAGGCATATTGTCTTTCCATGTTTGCAGATGTTAATGATTTATATGCAATGTTGTAACTGAAAGCAAGATATTAAATAACTAGCAATTGATCTGTTGTAGAACAACAACATTTTGTGCAACAACATTTAACTTCTGATTATACAGAATTTCATATTTCTTGCTTTTCCTCTTGAATTAGGATCTCTTGGAATAGTGTGGTATATGTTCTGGATTCTGGTATCCTATGAAAGCCCTGCAGCACATCCAACTATCACAGATGAGGAACGCACTTACATTGAAGAAAGCATTGGAGAAAGTGCCAAACTTATTGGAGGAATAGATGTATGAATATTTTTATACATTTGGGAATGTTAAATTAGTTAAACACAAATACAACTGTAAAAACTCAAATATATGCACAAAAGCTCTGTTTGTGCATAATTACCTTGATTAAATTTTCTCCATCCGGGCACCCCAGGGTGGATGATTTTGGGCACAATTTTGTCCTGAATCATGCCTATGTTGGAACTGTACATCATTTGCTTGCAACATGTATACTCTTTCTTAACTTAAGCACTGAGCTTTATAATTAGAAACATAGAAACGTCGAAAATAAGTGTAGGAGTAGGCCGTTTGTCCTTTTGAGGCCTGCATGTAGCTGCAACAAGAAACAGCCTCCATTGAAGTTTTCTCACTCTTCATTAATGTTAAATCAGTGACTTCAAATGTGTTCTTTTAGCCCAAGATGTAGCATTGACAATCAGGAGAAATACAGAAGAAAAATATAGAGGCAATTACAAAGATTTTTAGGGATTGTGCCTTGACATTTGGTGGAGTTGATGTGTCTGCAATCCAAGCAATGATGCAGGTTGATGCTTTGGCTGATGATAGGATTGTTGGCTTGAAATGGAAATTGTGGCTGAAATTATCTGTTTGAAACGAGTGCTGACATTCAGGACTTGTTTTTGCCTGGTGGTACAGAAAGCACAGTGAAAGCACTGTCTTATTCACGTTCGGTATGGCTGCTTCAAAAAGGTGGGCTTTCAAGATATCACTTGACATTGAGAAGGTCAGAATAGGAACATGCAGTGAAAAATTTGAAGGACAATTAGGTGGTGATGCCAAAGACATGTTTTCTGGCAAAGGAAACAGAAACAGGAGGAAACAAAGGCCTAATCTCTATCTGATTTGTGATAGGCTTTGAATGGATGCAATCATGTTACAATTGATCTGGATATCCAGATAATGGTTCAGGTAGTACAACATTGAAGGCGGGACATTTGACACATAAGCTCCAGAAAAACAGAGAAGAATTAACCTCAGGTGAAACTTTAAAAATGGCAGCTGCACTTGAAGCATTGGATAAACAATTTCAGAGCAAGAAACGTAGTCTCATCTTTACCATCAGCAGCAGAGGAGAAGTTAACCAAGTGGAGCCATGGAGTCCAGGTACATGTAACTGTACACAGCAGAAGTTATTTCAGATGTGACAACTTTGGGTATCATGGAAGAGGTGTCTACTGCCCTGCCTTGGAAGGATATGTACAAATTATGTGGTCAAATACCATTTTGCCAAGAAGTATAGAAACCAAGCTGAATAAAGAGGTTACCTGGAAAGTTAGTAAAGGAAAGAAATGAAAGTAGCACAACTGTGAGATGTTTTGAAGAAGGTGCAGCTAGCGAGGACAAGAATAGCCAATAATAATTATGTGCTTTCCATTAATGGGACCAACGAGGAGAACACTCCAGTCATCATTGATGGTGCTGATGTGAATGTTCTTGTCAATTCAGAAAGTGACAGGATCTCCTGGACAGAGCTTTGTGGGATTAAATGAAGACAAAGAGAATCAAGTGCACATCTCAAAAATATGTCGAAATAGTCCACCATTACCTAAATAAAAACCTACTTTAAATGGTTTGGATGCTTTTCTGAAGATATGAGAGCTAAAGACTGTAATAGAGGGGCAGAATTTCTAATGATTTATGAGAATGGTGAGTCTCTTTTGAGTAGAGCAACAGTCCAAGTCTTGGGTGTCCTACACATCAGATTGATTATAAATGTTGTGCTAGGTCTATGTAAAGCATAGAGAGGTGTTTGGATCAATGTTTCAAGGAACTGGGAAATTCCAACACTGACAAGTGAGATTAATCATTGGTGAGAACATAAAGTCTCTATCGTAGCCTTCTGTACACAGAACACCTTTTAGCTTGAGAGGAAAGTGAGACAAAAATCAAGGAGGTATCAATGACCAAGACATCATGGAGTCAGTTGGAGAACCAGCACCCTGTCTAAGTTAAATAGTGATATCAGACTCATCCATGATAGGTGGAAGAAGCAATAGTGAGGGAGAATGTCACTCAGTTCCCTCTGTGGGTGAAGTATTTGTCAACAGGCAAGGTATTCTCTAAATTAAACTGGGGGGCATGCCAACATTCAGGGAAGGTGGCAGCATTTGTTCCTCATTGAAGACTTTACAGACACAAGAGATTGCTTTTTGCCTTCCATTCAGCACCAGAGATTTACCAACACAATATCCGTACGGTGATACCAAGAACCTCAGGAGCAGCCATTACCTCAGATGGCATCATTATTCAGGGCGCCAATAAAGAAGAGCCTGATGAGAGATGAGGGTTATCAATGGCTATATTATATCAGCGGGAATTACAGTAAATGCAGATAAATAGTTGTTGTGCATGACAGAACTAATATTGATGGGCTACAAAATGGCAAGAACAGAATTGTTCCAGCCAAAGTCAAAATGCAGGCAATAGCAGAGGCATATAAATGCCAGCAAATTCAGAGAGGATCGAACATACAGGTCTTCTCTAGAGAAGAAAGCTGAATCATTTGTGGTAGATCCTGCTACACTCAGAGCAATGACAACTCAGGAGATTGAAATAGGATCAAACAATGACCTGGAGTTGGATGACATCAGACAGGGAGTCTGAGCTGGAAACTTGGAGAATTGCCCATTTGAGTGTTATTACTGTATAAGAATATAATGCAACTCAATTTTTACAGGTCACTGTAATTCTACCATTTCAGAAAGTGCCATTGTGAAAGTACTAGGGCTTTCCTTTAGTAGTTGCAATTTAAGCTGCACAAGAACAAAATCAAATTTGTGACCATGTCTTCACACGTCAAAGAGCAATCCATTTAAACAATCAGATCCTACAGTAGATATTTAATTGGCCAATGCAATGTCTTTCTTTGGAAGACAAATAAAAAGTTATAGCTGAAAGGCTCCTGTGATGCAGTAATAGTGTCCCTACCTCTAAGCTAGGAGGCCTGCTCCAGAGGTGTATACTAACATCTCTGAACAGGTTGATTAGAAATTATCTGAAAAGTTACAACTCTAGAGTGAAATGCAACAAATGTCATATTATTCCCAGTGAACACTATTTCTTTATACAGGCAATCCTTTGTTTGATTTACCATTGAGCAGGTAAATTACTCACCACAGAGCCATCTAGGTTCTTCCTGAAGTAACTTGGAAATAATAGAACTTTAGAACAGTTAAAATAGAAATAATTTATTGTTGATACTTCCTTACTTAAAGCTATGTTGTAAGAGAAGACTAAATAATAATTTAAATAGTTAAGTTCTAAGCTTTAAACAAGATTAAATCTTTGTGTAAATTGGATGCTGATCACTTGACACCTCCACTAACCAACATATATTTAACACAGAAACATAGAAACATAGAAGATAGGAACAGGAGGAGGCCATTCAGCCCTTCGAGCCTGCTCTGCTATTCTTCACGATCATGGTTGATCGTCCAATTCAATAGCGTAATCCTGCTTTCTCCCCGTAACCTTTGATCCCATTCACCCCAAGTGCTATATCGAGTCGCCTCTTGAATACATTCAATATTTTGGCATCAACTACTTCCTGTGATAATGAATTCCACAGGCTCACCACTCTTTGTTTGAAGAAATGTCTCCTCATCTTCATCCTAAATGGTCTACCCCGAATCCTCATACTGTGACCCCTGGTTCTGGACACACCCACCGTCGGGAACATCCTCCCTGCATCTACCCTGTCCAGTCCTGTTAGAATTTTATAAGTCTCTATGAGATCCCCCCTCATTCGTCTGAACTTAAGCAAAAATAATCCCAACCTAGTCAATCTTTCCTCATACGTCAGTCCCGCCATCCCCGGAATCAGCCTGGTAAACCTTCGTTGCACTCCCTCGAGAGCAAGAGCATCATTCCTCAGAAAAGGAGACCAAAACTGCACACAATATTCTAGGTGTGGCCTCACCAAGGCCCTGTATGACTGCAACAACATATCCCTGCTCCTGTACTCAAAACCTCTCACAATGAAGGCCAACATACCATTAGCCTTCTTTGCCACCCGCTGCACCTGCATGCTTATCTTCAGTGACTGGTGCACAAGGATGCTCAGATCCAGTTAAGGTCTTCATCTGCAAACTATTTGCATGGTTGCTAGGTTTAGAGAGGGCACTGGATTTGGAGAAGGCACTGGGTTTGTTTTTTTTCTCTTCAGGGGTGGTAGTTCTGAAACTTTCTAAAGAAGAATCACACTAAATGGATTATGATTTCTAAATGGTCTTGATGTAATAAAATCAACAGACACTTCAATTTAATTCTGTTTGTATCTTATTTTATAGAAATACAAAACACCATGGAGAAAGTTCTTTACCTCTATGCCCGTCTATGCAATAATTGTGGCGAATTTCTGTAGAAGCTGGACTTTCTATTTGCTGCTGATTAGCCAACCTGCCTACTTTGAAGAAGTGTTTGGATTTGAAATCAGCAAGGTATCCTTCATTTCAAATGGCTGTATTGAGAGCAGGATAGACTATTAGTCCTGTTCAGTTTTATACAATCATTTTAGAGAGCTGTGGGTGTGGAGTCACATGTAGGTCAGATCTGGTAAGGATGGCAGATTTCTTTCCGTGAAGAATATTAATGAACCAGATGGGTTTTTAAAATCAATTGGTAGTGGCTACATTAAATTAGCTTTTTATTCCAGATCCCTATTGAATTCAAATTCAGGATGATGAGTGGCTTGGAGGGGATTTGAGGGTGGTGGTATTCCCATGTATCCACTGCCCTTGTCCTTCTAGATGGGAGTGATTGTGGGGTTGGGAGGTGCTGTCTAAGGATCTTTGGTGAATTTCTGCAGTGCATCTTATAGATAGTACGCACTGCTGCTACTGAGCGTCGGTGGGTACGGCTCCAATTAAGCTTTGTCCTGGATGGTGTTGAATCTCTTGAGTGCTACCGGAGCTGGAGCACTCATCCAGGCTAGTGATGAGTACTCCACCGTACTCCTCGTTTGTGCATTGTAGATAGTGGACAAGCTTTGGGGAGTCAGGAGGAAGTTACTTGCTGTAGTAGTTGTAGCCTCTGACCTGCTCTTGTGGCCACTGTGTTTATGTGGTGAGTCCAGTTGAGTTTCTGGTCAGTGGTAAACACCAGTGGGGCGTTCATTGATGGTAACGCCATGTACTTCCGAATGGACATGTAAGATCCCATGGTACAATGCAAAGAAGTGCACCATGGGTTACTCCCCCAGTGTGCTGGCCACTATTTGTCCCTCAGGCATCATTCTTAAAACATTATTGTCTCATCAATGTTTTGGGGCCCTGCTACTTGCAATTTGTCTTCTGTGCATCATGACATCGTCCCAGTGTCTGCATTTCAAAAGTGCTTCATTTGGTCTGTCATGATTTACTTTTTTATTAGATTTATTATTGTCATGTGTACCTAAGTACAGTGAAAAGCAATGTTTTGTGTGCAGTACAGGCAGATCATACCATACAAAGTGTATTAGGGTAACAGAACAGGATGAGGAATACCAATTTACAGCTACAAGCAAGGTGCACAAAAAAGCAAGATCAACATTAGATTTGAAATTTGAGAGGTCCATTCAGCAGTCTAATAATAGCGGGGAAGAAGCTGTTCTTGAACCTGTTGGTACATGTGTTTAAGCTTTTGTATTTTCTGCCTGACGGAAGAGGTTGGAAGAGAGTTCATGAAGGGCGATAGATAATTGCAACATCTGTCTTTATCTAAAATACATTACTTAGTCTGAACCCAGGAAATCAGGGTTAGAATAAAATAAAATCAAAACACTGTGGAGCTAAAGGTAGAATATGGAACTGGCCACTGGAATTACAATTTTGCAAAAATCCCACTGGAATTCCACCAAGACTGAAAATCCTAGCTAAAAGTAGAGGGCAGACACTGTTTAACGAGGTCAAAAATTATACAATGCCAGGTTATAGTCCAACAGGTTTATTTGAAAACACAAGTTTTTGGAGCGTTGCTGCTTCCTCAGGTATAGTGAGATGATTTTTCTATGATTCCATATTTTTAAAACAGGTTTTCATTCATTTGTCATCTGATGCCTCCTTATTTCAAATTCATAACTGCTATCAATTTGAATGTGAAGTGTTAGTTCTTCACATGAAACACTTAACTTACTGCCTCCTTGTTTGGTTAATCTCATATTAATGAGTATAAGAGATGAGGTCTGAATATGGTTTTTGAACACTTCTCAGCTTAGTATTCAGGTATGAATATATTGTTGAAAGTTTAATAGATATGCAAGCCTTACAGGAAAGCAATTGCAAGTAAAAAGCTCTGTGGTACATAATTAGAATTAGAGGAATGGAGCTGAGCTGAGGTTTTTTTATATTTCAAGTTTGCAATTGCATGGCTTCTGTTTTTCAGTTCTGCCACCCCTCAAATGAACACACACATTCTTAGCTTAGTCTAACTATTCAACACATCAATGGAGGTATTATGTTAATTCCACTGTGCTCATAATCCACAGGCCCAGCTAGTTCCCTCTGGATATGAGTTCAAAACTGCTGAGGTGGGAATTCTACTTTAATTGATCATTCCAAAGTTAAAAGTTAATTGTAGGGAAACTGTGGGGCATATTTTTAAGGTGAGAGGAGAAAGATTTAAAATGGACCTGAGGGGCAACCTTTTTACACTGAGAGTTTGGTTCGTATGTGGAATGAATTTCCAGAGAAAGTGGTGGATATAGGTACAGTTACAACATTTAAAAGACATTTGGATAAGTTTATGAATAGGAAAGGTTTGGAGGGATATGGGCCAAGCGCAGGCAGGTGGGACTAGTTTAATCTGGGAACATGGCTGGCATGGACTGATTGGACCAAAGGGTCTGTTTCCATACTGTATGACTCTATGACTTTATAACAGAGCAGACAAAGGTGTTATATTAATGCCACTGTGCTCATAATCCACAGGCAGAGCTAATTCCCTCAGCATATGGGTTCAAACCTGCTGTGGTGGGAATTTTAATGTAATTAATAATTCCAAAATCAAAAGTTAATTGTACTAACCAGGACAACTGTCATTAAAACCCCAAATATTTCACTAATACTCTTCAGGGATGCTATGGCCTGCTCGTGATTCCAGATCTATCAAAAACTCTCTAAACAGTGCTCTGAAGTGACTGAGCAATCCAATTAATGCAAGGGCAATTAGAGATGGATCCAAATACTGTCTTGGTCAGTGATGCCTTCATCCCATAGAACAATAATAGACAGAAGTCTTCAGTAGTTTCATGCTTTGCATGCAGCAAAGCTAATACTCTTTAGGGTTCATTTACCTTTTTTTCTACAGCAGTTTAGAAACAGCTGCTTTTCCTTACTTTTACAAGTTAATTTTCTTTGAACTCTCCTATTGTTCTTTTACCTTACATTATTTTACCAAGACTTATTGAGATTCTACTGAAAACTGCATGTAGTTTAAACAAAGATTTTCTGCATATTCACTTCTGATAGCCTTCTGGTGAAACAAAAACAGAAATTGCTGGTAAAACTCAACAGGTCTGATTGCATCCATTGGAAGAAAGCAGAGCTAATTAATGAATTCAGTGACCCTTCAGCAGAACTGATAGCAGCTGGGAAAATTTGGTATTTGTGCTGAAGCCAAAGTTGGGGGAGGAGGAGGGGGAGAGAGGTGAGCAGTTCAGTTGAAATGGAACCCATAGAGAGAGAGATAGAGAGAGAGATAGAGAGAGAGAGAGAGAGAGAGAGGGATATGAAAGGGGTAGGTAAACAAGTAGATTGCGAATGGTGAGCCAGCACAGAAGAGAAACTGAATAAGTGACAATGAGAGTTAAGGATAGCAGAGAGTGGGTGGTCTGTGCTGAAAGCAAACCATGCAATGTGATAACAGGCAGAGAGTGGGTGAAAATGCGTGTTCTAAAAGCACAGTCATAACCTCCTTGCGATCTCTGAACTATTTTGGACTTGACATCTGCTGGTGTCTCCTGAGCTGCCTAGTCAGAGAGAAGTTTCCAGTAATTCATACTTGTCTCTGTCCGTTTACAAAAGTGGACAAACAATATTAAATTATGAGAAACATTAGGTTTGTACCCCCTTGAGCTGAGAAAATTGAGGAGTAGTGTAACGGAGACCTTTAAAAAGAAGAAGGCACGAGACAAGATGGATACAAAAGAAGCATTCCCCCGATGCTGGAATCCAAAATAATTTGATGTAATGTTAAATTTAGAGGTGGACAATTTAGGAATAAATTTGAGAGAAAAGGTTTTCACATAAAGTCTCATAGGAATCTGGGACTCTTTCTTTCGGAGAGGCAGGCTGGATTCATTGAATAAGAACCAAAGAACTGCGGATGCTGCAAATCAGGAACAAAAACAGAAGTTGCTGGAAAAGCTCAGCAGGTCAGTCAGAACCCTCTGAGGAAAGGTCACTGGATCTGAAACGTTAACTCTGATTTTTTTCTTCACAGATGCTGCCAGACCTGCTGAGCTTTTCCAGCAACATCTGTTTTTGAACAGTACTCCCTGGTGACTTTAACTATTTTATCATTCCAGGTGGGCATTCTATCAGCTTTGCCCCATCTTGTCATGACCATTGTGGTACCCATTGGTGGACAGATTGCTGATCACCTCAGAAGCAAGAGGATACTTTCAACCACAAATGTCAGGAAGATAATGAACTGTGGAGGTATGTCTCTTTTTTGGGGGGGCACGCGGTGGTGTTGAGATGTTGCTTAAAAATTTCTAAACTTATTCCATTAAAACTACACCTACCATAGAGTACACATAGTATGAGTACACATAGTATTTGGAACATATGGTACTTCATACTTGACACTTTTGCATAGTTCATCCAACAACAGCAACTTAGCTTTATCTAACACATGTCATGACACTGAATCACAGAAGCACATAATAGATCAGATGACTGAAAGCTTAGTTGAGGACTGTCTGAAAGGAGAAGCAAGATAAAGAGGTTTGGGAGGCATATTCCAGAGCCTGGGGCCTAGGCAGCTGAAGTCACGGCCACTCGTAGTGGAATGGTTAAAATTGGAGACACTCAGATTTAGAGGTCAGATTTATAGCTGTGCAGATATCATGGAGGAATGTGGAGCCAGAGAAGATTACAGTGGTGTGGAGGGTGTGGGGAGGTCATGCAGTAATTTGAAAATAATGAGAATTTTAAAATCAGGTGACGGGGAATGGCAATTGGTATGAGTTAAGGGGCAGGCAACAAAAATTTGGGTGGCATCAATGAAGCTATAATGTGGGATACCAGCCATTGGGGTATTCAATTGCAGAAGCAATAATGGCAGGAATGAACGTTACAGCAGCAAGTGAACGGCGACTAAAGCAAAATTGGGAGATGGTATGGAATTTGGAATAGGTGTCTTACTATTGGCAGAAAAGAAAGGCCATTGGTTCATCCTAGCACTGGGGAGGTGATGGCCCAGTGGTATTATCGTTGGCTTGTTAACCCAGAGACCCAGATAGCATTCTGGGGACTGGCTTCGAATCCCGCCATAGCAGATAGTGGGATTTGAATTCAGTAAAATATCTGGAATTAAGAATCTAATGATGACCATGAATCCATTGTCGATTGTTGGGGAAAAACCCAAATGCTTCAGTAATGTCCTTTAGGGAAGAAAACATCCTTACCTGGTCTGGCCTACATGTGACTCCAGAACCACAACAATGTGGTTGACACTGAACTGCCCTCTGGGCAATTAGGGATGATCAATAAATGTTGCCGAGCCAGTGATGCCCCCCATCCTGTGAATGAATAAAGAATATGTGACACTAACATTTTGAATTGACTGACTTAATCACATAAGGTCTCTAATTATGTTTTCTAACCAACCTGCTCAAAAATGTTATCAGTTGGATGCTATAGCCCAGGCTTATTTGTCAAGAAGTTACCATTGTACCATCAGAATCTCTATTTCACTATTCAGATAGTTTCCAATCAGTTTGTTCAGAGATGTCACTACACACCTTTTCAGCAGATGAGATTTGAATCCAGGTCGTCTGGCTCAGACATAAGGACACTCCCACTGTGCCACAAGAGCTCTCAGCAACTCTCTTCTTCTGAACTCCTCTAATTATGACCTCCAGTATATTCCTAATTTTAATCCCTCCATTGTTGACAGCATTGCCTTCATTTGCCTTGATTGTGGAGTACCCTCGCTGCACCTCACTTTACTCCTTTAAACATAGAAACATAGAAGATAGGAGCAGCAGTAGGTCATTTGACCCCTCAAATCTACTCCACAATTCAATATGATCATGGCTGATCATCGATCTTAATACCCTAATCCCACCCTCTTCTCATATCCTTGATCCCTGTAGCTACAAGAGCTATATCTACTTCCTTGTTGCAAGCACATGATGTTCTGGCCTGAACCATTTTCTGTGGTACTGAATTCCACAAGCTTGCCACTCTCTGAGTGAAGAAACTTCTCCTCATCTCTGTCCTTAAAAATTTAACTGTTCTCCTTAAACTACTTCCCCTCATTCTGGACTCTCCCATAATCAAGAACTTCCTTCCTGCATCTAACTTGTGTGGCCTTATTGGAATTTAACAGATTTTTATGAGATTCCCCTCATTCTTCTAAAGTCCAGTGAATACAATCCTAACCGACTCAACCTCTCCTCATACGTCGGTCTTGTCATCCCAGGAATCAATGTGGTAAACCTCTGCTGCACTCACTCTATGGCAAGAACATCCTTCCTCAGATAAGGAGACCAAAACTGCACACAGTATTCCAGATGTGGTCTCTCAAAGCCCTGTATAATTGCAGCAAGACATCCTTGTTCCCGTACTTGAATCCTCTCATTATGAAGGCCAACATACAGTTTTGCCTCTTTTACTGCCTGCTACATCTGCACACTTAATTTCAATGACTGTGCATGAGGACAACCAGATCTCCTTGAAATTCAACAAACAAAAACAGAAGTTGCTGGAAAAGCTCAGCAGGTCTGACGGCATCCATGAAGAAAAAATCAGAGTTAACGTTTCGGGTCCGGTGACCCTTCCTCAGAACAGGAAGGGTGTTCCGGACCCGAAACTTTAACTCTGTTTTCTCCTCCACAGATGCTGCCA